TACCGTAGGGGTGACAGACACCCGTCAGCTCACTCTGTAGATAGGACCCACCAGAATTGAGAAGTGCAAGAATCATCACCGCGATCAAGACACAAACCATCCTTTTACGGGAGGCAAGAGAGTAGTACTGAAGCGGTCGTGTTACTGCGATGTAGCGGTCGACAGACGCCAACGTCAAAATCCACATGGATTGCCAAACAAAAGCTGTGCACAGAATAACAATAGTATCACCAACGCTTTTGGAAATTGGCAAGTAAACAAATAAAACGCCAGCAGTTGAACACAACAGACCAGTGAAGAGATCAACCACCGAGAGAAACATGAGACAAATTTTAGTGTTTTCACCAAAACAGTTTTTAACTCGCGGAACGGTTATGATATTGATAATGTTTAGCAGAATGCAAAGAACAGCATTGAGAGAATAACCGATAACAAAGAAGTTTTTCTGGCTTTTCAAGATGTAAGCCATATCAATCCTTTCAAGCGAGGCACTAGAATTGAATTTCGAAAAGTTTGCGATATCTGGAATGATGCCGTCCATTGTAAACAGGATCATCTACCTTTGGTTATTGTTCGGGGCGCCTCACTTCGATCATGCAAAATCAATAAGAAGGAAGAGGTAACAAGACGCCAACTGCTTGGTTCGATACGGTTAGCCACAAGTTACCCCATCATTCTGCCTTTCTAAAATGAATAGCAGTTTAGAAATACATGGAGAAAGTGAAGTCACTCAATAATTAAAAAAAAACGTCAATAAGTAAGTATGATACTTACACACAAAAGCACGGTGTGCATAATTATGACGTACAAAAGCACGTGCCACCGCGTCAGGCTGTATTCGGCGAAGGACCCTTATGTCTTCTTTTAGCCACGATTGATAATTCCACTTTTTACATAGGCGACATAATTCAAGTGAATGTATACAGTATCCAGTTGCGTAACCACGGGGAGAAAAGGCACGAGGATATACACGTGTGCCCCCTTCCCCTCCCCCGCAAAAATATAAATAGAAAGAGAGAGGAGAGAAACTCACAGAAGGAGAACGGGGAAATAGAGCGTGAATGACGGAGATGGCATAGTAGATGGTTGATGTTTCGAATCCCAGCCCGGCACTTACGCTGTTTATCAAGACATTAATCTACATTTGCCATTCTCCACCCAGGTGTAAATGACTGCCTGTCAAACGCTTAGGTGATAGTGACTGGAGGAGCATCAGGAAGAACAGCTTTGATGATGATGAGACTTCCCTGGGTATATGCAATTATTTGATATAAAGTGAATAAGACCCCATCTAACACCCCCCCCCCCCCTTACTCGCATGTCCTGCGATCAGATCATTGTCCGTCCCCATGATACCAATGAATGTTACAATGGCTATTAACTAACTAAACTTGAACCATTTTGGATACAATGCTCCATTAAAGGCTAGACTTGTACTTCGTGTTACTTTTTCGTACATTAATGAATAATATTGACCTTATTTTGACACTTAAACAATGCTATCCTAAAACTAAGTGAAAGCGCCTTGTATCATTTGGAAAAGGTGCTATATAAATACAATTATTACGTTGCAATATAGTTCACATTGTAACTTAATGTGGGCTTCAAGTGCTAAGACAAAATTAACCCTATTTATCTAATGCAGAAGGAAGCGCTTCGCATAATGTGCTGACTACATTAATTAGCCCATACAAACCCATTATTTAATTGATTTAAAACACTGGCATTTGTTGATATAAACGCATGACAGAGTTTAATTTTATGTTTAAATACATGAATAACCTGCTTCCTGATTTATTTAAGAATATCTTTGTATTGAATAACATTATCCATTCTTACCCTACTCGGAATTCATCAAACTTTTATTTGACAAGTCCTAAATTATTAATCCGACATAAAACAATACGACATCGAGGTCCAGATTTATGTAGTGCACTCCTATACTCTATAAAATCAATCACGTAAGACCCTATATTCGTTAAACTTCAATACAAAGAAAGCATTTCTGTCAGGGTACATTGTTTGATATTTTCCCAGTGCTGAATTAATTATCAATATTTTTTCGAGATTTCTATAAACACCTATCACTATATTTCATAACTCTCGTATACTTATAAAAGTTTTCTGATTTAGATTCATTTACATCGGCATATTTTCATTTTCATCTTCATTTTCATTTTCATTTTAATCATCATCATCATCATCATCATCATCATCATCAACATCATCATCATCATCATCATCACCACCACCATCACCATCACCATTTCAAAATAAAGATGTGTATGTTATGGGTGATATGAATATAATTTTAATACACGATCTTTGAAATGCATAAATGAATGTGTTAGTATTGTGTATAATAAGTCATTGCAGCCAGTGATTGACAAACCGACTACAATAACAAAATCATCTATAGCTTTGATTGATAATATTTTTACCAATACTTGCTCTGAAACGTTTAAATCAGGTATATTCTACAGTGACATAAGTGATCACTTACATGTACCTGTATTTCTTTTGTCCGTAAAACATAACTATATAGTGAAACTAATCACTGGACAGAGAAGCTTGATAATGATTATTCTAGCAGAATAAATGACTCTAGACCGTAAATGTATTTAGGAATGATTTGTCAATCACTGACTTGAGTGAACTTTTATCAATATCAACTATAGAAAGTGCTTAAAATGACTTTTATCTTAAGTTCAAACAATTGTATGATAAGCATTTTATTCGTAGAAAAATGAAAGAAAAAGAATACTCCTCGAAAACCATTTAACGAGATCACTATTGAAATGTATGCACAAAAAAGATCGTTTGTGTGAGAATTTTATTCATAATTCCCCCAGCAATCATTATGAAGTACGATATAAGAAGTATTGAAACAATTTAAAGAGCCACTCTAAACCAACTAACATAGCCTTTCAAAACATGAATACACCTCTACTTATTAATATCCCAGCCTCTGATTTTTCAGAAAATCTCTAAATTGACCAAAAAATTATAATAACCGTCCATTTTTTTACAGTTCTCACGCTTGCTGGGCTACGCCCCTCGAGAAAAAGGTAATACAGTCACGTGGCCCTGATGACGCACTTGACGTCATTGCGGACATGTCCGATTTGACCTACTACTAAGGATCTTACATTAGGAATGACGAAATTGCCAGAAACGTACTGGGATTATCAAGTGCATATTATTTTTCGGATAAATGTCTTTTTTGTTCCAATTGATATCATAGTTTGCCTTTTTAAAGACATTTTAATGCCTAAATCACCCTCCTTTTCACCGGAGAGGCGCCTGCAGTGACGTCATAAACAGTTGCGCAATACAGCTTCGAAACTGGGCTTTTTTTTTCTTAGCGTTCTGAGTCGTCACTTTTAAAGCTAGCTTCCAGAATTATTGATGATTTCTAAGAAAAATCAAGGTCATGTTCAGAATCTCCTTCAAAAATTATTCTACATGTCTTTAAAAAAATTTTTTTTTAGCCCGTTTTGGTTAGAGTGGCCCTTTAATAGCAATTTAAAAAAAGCCCGGAAGCAGTACTATGCATTACTTCAGGTACCTGGTAATTTTGAAATTACATGTAATTATTATTTCAGATATACATTTAATAGTAAATTGGAATCTTATAAGGAATATAATGTTCTTTCAATGTTTTATTTAAACTGTCAGAGTTTGGCTTCCAAATACATGAGCTTTCAGGACTATATTAAGAGTTTACACCATCAAGTTTCAATATATGCATTTTTAGAAACATGGTTCAAGCGAATCGTTGCATCTATGTAAAATATGTTAGGATACTCTTTTTTTACAAAAATCCAAAACAATCGATTAGGTGGAGGAGTTTGTTTATGAATTGACTCTAACTTAAATTACAAAGAAAGACCAGATATTTCATTTGGAAATTACGATATTAATTCATTATTTATAGAGCTACAACTTACTTCTCAGAAAAATGTGATTGTTGGTGCAATATGCAAAGCTCCAAACTCTGATGGAAAATCTTTTAACGATTTATTAGATAAATGTTTGTCAGCTATTTCTAAAGAAAATAGGGGGGGTGTAATGGAGCACTATTTTGTATATTCTTTTACTCAAAATCCTTTTTCTTTTTGTCTGAGGGAGGGGGCCGTCTTCTTCTTACTTTTGTTTAAAAGGTACAATTAACGTTACCATTTTGGTATACCTTTTTTTTTGACGAGGAGAAGTATATCATTTAGATATACTTTTTTCTCCTACCTCCTCCCCCTGTACGTGATGTTCCAGCTGACACACAAAGATGGACATATAGGTGCCATATCGCTTTTGCGTCTTTTTCTTAAATATCAATGCTTCTACACAAAACATTATTTTACTATTTTCCATTCCTCTTCACATAGACGTATCAAGATGTCTCTACCTTACTACATATACATTGCCTGTTTCCTTCTTTCTCAATTTCTCCTTCTTTCACTTTCTTCCTGTCGTTATTTCTTTCTCTCTCTCTATCGCCCCCTCTGCTGCTTTCTTTTTATCTCCTTTTCTCTTCTTGTCTGTTCTCTACAACCGGATCTCAAAACATATTCGCCTACAAACTCATAGCCGTCCTTTTTTTGTTGGTATTTTGTCTCGCAACACCATGGATATCTCTTTGGATTTTGCTCTGCTGTCTTTTCTTTTTCTTTACAACTCTCCATCCATCACTTTACCCCTCCCATTCCCCCCCCCCTCTCTCTCTCTGTCTGTCTCTCTCTCTCTCTCTCTTGCTCTCTTCATTTCTCTCTCTCTCTCTCTCTCTCTCTCTCTCTCTCTCTCTCTCTCTTTCTGTCCCCATTTATCTAATATGACACTTCTGAATCTAAATCTCAGTCTCCCTAACTCTTTCTTTCTTTTCTTCTTCCATTTCATTTCATCGTTATACTTATCTATCTACCTATCGATCTATCTTGTTTGCCATTTAAAATATATCTATCTTTTGAAACACTAGGAGAGACAGTAGTATATAACAACACGAGTTATTGCAGAAAATTTGTCGTTTATTATACCATATTCACTTCTTCCGAAGATAAAGGGTATAGGCATATATGGCGTTTAACCCACATCGCACTCCACATGAGGCTGCAGTAGATTTGCCAAAGTTTTTTTCCAAACGGGGGTGCTAATGATATCATGACTACGGGTCAACGAAATTCCGGTGTCTGTCCAAACGGTCTTGAGGTCGAGGGGTCACGAAGACGAATAGCATTTATATGGCATCACCATTTCCAGCTCCTGTCGATAACAAGTTGGAGAAAAAAAAACAATATTGGTTAACACAAATTACATGACATCCTATATGTCTGATTTAAAAAAGGACTATGATTATGATTATGAAGTTATCAAATAATGAAACCCTTGAAACTTGCATAGGCCTAGGCCTATATAGACAACTCAAGAGGACTAGGAAAATGTGTCTTTATAGGCAGGTGGACTTTCTATACATGTAGTCGCTGTAGTATATTTTTCTATACATGAAAATACAAACTTATAACTTTATTCACATTTCTCGCCTATTCGTAGCGAATATAGTAACCATAATTCTTAGATATGTTTACACAATCTAAATGTATATCTACATGCTTGAAGAATCCATTAGGATAATGTAATTTTCAACAAATAGAATGTAAATTGTTATTCTATGGTCCTATCGTTATCCTTTTTATAACAAAATAGAAACTGCAATACGCCCCCCCCCCCCAAAAAAAAAAAGCCAATGATTTTCTTTTTAATCAATAAACTTTTAGATTAAAAATTTAAATCAAATCTCAAGATTAGACTTCCATTAGTTTTTGAACTTTTTTATAAAACTGAATCAAATTTAAACCCACTGTCTGTGGAAATCAGGGAGCCCATGTATCAAGCTATTAAGACGAGAAAATGCAGTCTTTACCAGGTTAAAGCGATCAAATTAGTGGATATTGTATTCAGATCTCTTTTTTCGGAGAAGCTAAAATTAAATTGACTTTACATACCCAAATAAAGGAGTGCGCGATATTTGTGGTTTAGCTCCCTCCCCCACACGTATAATCGTACTTGATAAGTCGATCAACAAACAAAAAAAAAAAACGAAAAGTTAATTTCGAATCTCTATTATATATGCCATGTCCAAAGATTATTCAAATTCATCGAGGTTGATTTTTTGAAAGTTTTGGGGATCGACTTCAAAATTCTTTATCAGAGTTGATTTTTGGAGAACAAACTTACCGCTGCAGAAGACGATCTTCTTGGTCCTCCTGCTGCACCAGCATGGCTGGCCCGAAACTCCAGGGCAGTCTGCGAATTAAAAAAACGAAATGACGATTATAATGGTGGTGATGATGATGATGATAATGATGATGATGATGGTAATGATGATGATAATGATGATGATGGCAGCAGTGATGATGATGGTGATGATGATAATGATGATGGTGATGATGATGATGAGTGGTGATAATATTGTTTTCTTCCCAGCGAAGGCTCATTAGCATCAATGCTATTCTTCATTCTTCATGAGGATCATGCAATTACTACTAAGCGAGCAACTACCAGGTATCTGTTTACACATTGGTGGAGTGAGACGGGTGTGGACAAAACGCATTGTCCAAGGATGTAAGAAACCAAGTGAGGCTTGAACCCGGGATCTCTCGAATAAGAGCTCAGATCCTTCACAAATATACCGCAGTGCTACCACAATCAGCCCCTGTCATACTTCCCCCGTGTGGGGGAGCCCTCAGATAAACTTGGCACAACTAGTAAGCACCTTGAGGAAACTACTAGACATAGCGACTATGAACTCATCAACTGAAAAAGAGACACATAAAAACTAAAGCCCTGTGATCCCGTCCCTCAATTGAGAGTCAGGTTCCGCCACAGGTCAGGCCAGCAAAACGCGTATAGGGATAACTTGAAATAACTTGTCGGAAGTCACATTGATTTTTCACTCAAGAGAATACCAACAAGATCAAACGAACGTAAGATTTTGGTATTATCTTGTTTTGTTTTAAAAAAATATTGTGAGTCAGTTGACAACATAAACTATATCGGAAATTAATTGTATTTGAAATTATGTAATCTTGTAAAAGTTCGTGCGTAAAAATGTCTGATTTTGTATGCAGTAATTTCCAGACAAAGTGCAATTTACATTTCGAAGTTCTCAACTAAGATCCGGTTTTTTAATGAGGTTTCAACAAACAATAAATGTCAATGATTTGTAACGATCGGCGATAAAATTCTCTTTAAAGCACGTGGAAAGACAATAAAAACATATTCAGCTTTTTTTTTAGCAAAATAACACATTATTCATTTTATATGACATATCTTTGCCCTTTCAAAGAGCTTTGGAAATTATTACCCCAGCTAAGCTCCAGTGGGAGTTTCAAGGGAACCACAACAATCTGTCTTTGTAGACAGACGGTCTTTTTTAGCCAGGTTCCTTTTTACATGTATTAAGGAAAAAACATTTTCACGCGAAACAAAACAAAACATGTGGTCTTTGTAGACAGGTGGTCACTAAAGCAGGTTTGACTTTATTTGCACTGCCATAGGCTGTACTAGTGCTGTGGTAGGGATTCCGTTCCCGTACCTGCGGTGGTTCAAAATTTGGAGCCTAATTATTTACTAGACCACGATACAACATTGCACTTAAAGAGAAGGTTGAGTTCTGGGAAGAGTTGAACAATAATTTGTGAGCGTTATCAGTGTGGAAGAACATCAGATAAAAAACGTTTCCTGAAAAACATGGCTCTTCAAATGCCTTAATATTCTAAATATGGCATGTAACATCATGTATCGGGACCGATTTTTATGCAACATGTTTGTTAAGTCCCATATACATCTTTCTGTGTAGGCCCTGTGTACAGTGCTTGTAAGTTTACCAAGACTCTTATCATTCTGATGGTTCCCGAACCTTGCAGTACACACCAATACTTATATGCTAGATGATCAACCTTTTCTGATCGATTCCACAACGGTTCTTTCACAATGCAATCGCATGACCAGAACTCAACTTATCTTTAAGCATGTTCAGGCTTAAGAATCGGTTTTAGGGATAGATACTCACACTTGTACTTCTTAATGTTCTTTCCCCTCTTCTCAGCCACGAGGTATTCCTGCAGTGTGGGATCCCTCTTCAGGAATTCGACATCGAGGGCCTCATCCTCGAAATCGTCTTCGAACTCGAAGGCAAGGGCGGCAACGATGAGGGCGGCAGCGAGAACTACGAAGAAAGTCTTGGCCATTTTTGGTTTGTAGGTTATCTGCCAGTTGAAATAAAAGTATTTAAAAATCTGTATATAGAACAAGCTGAAAATTTCTGGCCATTTTGTCTTTAAAGAATAATAACTTGGCCACACAGAGCTGCCTGAACAGCATAAGTACTAATCATAACATCGTTTTTTTTTAATTTTATTTTTGAAATCAGGAATTTGTTGTGTGTTTAGATTTCCATATCTAATATTAACGCCATTTCTAAGAAAATCAGATCACAGGAGAATCGTTATGGCTTGTTACATTGCTCTCTGAGCTGACGTACGTTGTACCATGCCAAAGGGCGTGTCCACACACCAGAGCAATCCGGTGGTTAGTTTCCCCCTCTATCTTGACCCTCCTTCTTTATTGCGTCATCTGTTTTGTCACCTATCAATTAGACACCATCCCAATCTTTTGTTTACCTCTTCCCCGTTTACCGTCCATCTTCCCTTTCCTTAAGCCACTGAGCGATGTAATTCGTCAATAAAATTGTATATTTAGTGTATTTTGCATTCGTTATTGAATTATGAAATCTACTCGTTATTGAGATAAAGCACTGTGGTAGTGCGGAAAACTTTTAAAAAAAGTAGACCTCAATGAGAATCGTATTGGATCATTACTGTGTAAAGCAAAGAGTAAATGAACGTTGTATGTACTTACCTGATGCTGATAGATGGTTTCCGTGTTGGACTGAAGATCTGATGATTTAGTGCTAAAGGCACCTCCTATTTATAAGAAAACTTCCACCATTTGTTTGTAACATTTCTTTTGTTCCGAACATTCATTTCCTTGACTAATTAAGCCGATTAGACAACATATGGTTCCGCTCATCAACGTTAATAAAAAACAAAAATTGCGTGCTTCAAGAGAGAGATATTTCAGAGATGAAATAAATAATTATTCACGCACTGTCAGTCAACCTCTTACTGATTCATTAATGTCATCCTTGACTTTCTTGAGACATAGCACGCTAGGTCTAATCATCATTATGTTACCGAGGTATCTATATAAGCGATTTTGACAAAACAAGGCCGAGGTAATTTCATTTGCAATTTGTTTGTATTTTCATCTTCATTACTAATTAATTTCCAAACGGCCTTCATTATGTCAGGGGCTGATTAAAGAATCTTTCCAAAATCACGAACTCCAATGAATAAAACCAACGCCCCTTCAGATTTTCTCAGGGGGCGGGGGAGGAGGACCGCTTTTCCCGATTGTTAACTTTTTTGTTTCATTAGAAAGAAAAAAGTTTAAAAAGCGATATCCGCTGTGCTCCATGTTATAAGATTCGGCATAGTGAAGCTAGTATTACACTTTACGTATCCATACAAAAGAAAACCATCGCGTTTTGCCACGTCATATGTAAACTGGCCTTTACTGAGCAAAATTAAGTGATGGATTCTTGAGCAATATAGTTATTTTCAACAGATATGTGGTAAATAACGATAGGCAAGTGAAATGGATACAAGTCTGAAAGAAATTACATATTCCGAAATGCCCTGCATCAATAGACCATTTCGTAGTTAGCACATGGGTCAAATGACCCCAAATATTCACAGATCTTTTACTCAAGGAGAAGTCCCACTTTGTGTATTTTAGAATAATCAATGCCAAAGTCAATGTATATGCTTCATGAAAAGCTTTTCTTTGCCCTGTAGGTGCACACATGAATAATAGGGACTTTTAGATTTACACGACGAGAACGTGGACCGCCACGTCTGACATCCTTTTAAGGTAATGTGACGTCCTTTTAAGGCACTGCCGGGCACGGCCCAGTGCCTAAACACAATGTCACACGCGGCACTCCACGCTCTCGTCGTGTAAATCTAAAAGTCCCTAATGATTACATAACATGAGCACGTATTCATCCCTGTGGGTTTTACAAGTTTTATCACAAATGACCTTTATCTGCCCATGCGCAGATAGTATTTACGAAATGGCTTGATATGTGAGTTTGTCTAGCGGCATGTTAACTTAGTCAGCTCTTAGTATTCGCCTACAAATTGGTTTAGGCGACCCCGATTCGAAACTTAGTCACGTCTTTCGGTTGGTGACGTCAAAGGGAAATCCAACCCGTGTAATAAGTAGATTTGTATGAAAGCAGAAAAAATAACAGAAACAGAATGGCAAAAGTTTGAAATGAATCGGACTTATAGTAAGGATGTTATGAATGTTTGAAATATGAGATCACTAAGTCCATGCAAATCTCAAAAAGGTAGTTTGGTTAGTGGATTGTGACGTAGGACGTGGATAACTCTCCCATTAGCCGTGTACCAAAATATCACGAATTTCTGCTTTTTCTTCTCCCTTGCCTCACAAAAGTGCACTAATAAAGCACATAGACACGGTTTTGATCCTGGGGCCTAACAGTTACGAGGCCATCGCTTTGCCACTGAATCATGACTGTACGCAGCGGGTGTTAGGGTAGGGGGCAGCCCCCACAAATACAAAAAACAAAGAAAATGCAAGAAATACTTTTTCAAATGAATAATTCCTCGATATACCATAACAAATTACAACTCTAGATTTCTGGAAGAAAGCAATTTGCTTTTATCAATAATGACTGAAATTGTAACACACGTAAGACATTGCTATACTAGCGATCAGAATCACTCTTAGCCTTAAAAAGTTAGCATTACATCCCTCCCATATGCCTAAGTGAATCAGTTCCTGAAAAGCGTTATTGTTCTAAAAGGAGTGATGTTGAGCCTAAGAGCAATTTAATTATATTTGGGCTTAATTTGAGCTGTTAGAGAATTATCCCAGATCTTCGGACCACTCGAGAGATTTTAAGACTTCTTTTCAATTTTCCTGGCGTTTTTCGCAATCATCTAACAGGATCTGCATATATTTCACAAATAATAGTTTTGCCCATCAAATGGTTAGGCCTACTGTTGGGCACTTCGTTTATAATTTAGAGCCGATTTCTGAACGGCTAATATTTGTTGATGAAGAAGTGTTTGTATTTTTTAAACTCGACTCTGGGTAAATCAAGCAAAATCTATAAAAGAGTATATTTGTCAACCGCACTTCCTATATAATGTATCACCTTATTATTTCAGTAAGAAATAATGTTAGTGTACAAATAATACACAAAAGTGAGGGTATTAGTAAGAATTACCCACACAAGGTACCTTTTGAACAGTCTAACACGCCCGAGGCGATATAGCCGAGCCAGAGTCTTTGGACTGTTTCGAAGTTATTACCGAGTGTGCGTAATTTTTCTAATGCCCGAACAAAATGATGTGTATTATTTTTTTTGTAAGATGATGTTTTATTTGTTTGATAAAATGATGGTTTCTAATAAGATTTTACTGATGACCGGTCATTAGTATTTGCTAATGACTGGTCATGAGTAAAATTACGTATTAGGCAAAATAAATGCCTGCTTACGTGTACGCTACGAACCAATCAATTGATTAGGATCCGCTTATCATCTTATAATGTATGATATTATCCATGCCAAGCTGTCACATTTATCGAGTCCTATCCAATGATCTATGAATGAAATTAGACCACCCCGGTATTCGAACGCCACTTATCTCGTTTTACAGACTACCTCTCTTTAATGCAGTGAGCTGTAGCATGCCCTCATTTGTGTGTAAATGTTCAGTGAATTTCAGTGATCCCTTAATAAATCATTCATGGGTGTATTCATTAGTTGTGTCTAGTAATTTATTGATATTGATTTAGTCTTTGTGCTTACTAACAACGTAAGTTAAGTTTTTTATTGCTAATCTCCCAGCAACATTTCCGGTTGGTTGCGATCATCATCATTTTAGAATAACGGACCGTTTGACCATCAGAATGGTAGAATAACTGACCTTCAGAATGGTAGAATATGAGGAAATTTTGACCATCGTAAACTTTAATCCCCATGCGGTGTATCTGAACAGCAATTTAACAGTAAAATTATTATATACAATCAGTTTTGTTGTCGTCGGAAGTGAAGTTGTTAAAAATGTCGAAGTAAAAAATGTCGATTCTCCCTAGTCATTCAGAAAAGAGCGATGCAAGGCTGCACATCGATTAAAGACACAAGCACTAATCTTATTACGGCGAAGCAATTGACCATTTTGTTTGACAATTGTTATTCGAAGAATGACATAGCCCTTTGAATAGACAGGCAAACAATATGTGCTTAATTCAGTCTGGAAAAAATACAACTTCCAGCAGTAGCTTTGGTATTGTTTCTTTAAGAAGACATGCATGCTCAAAGGAATATATGACAAAAGAAGCTATAGAGGACTCGCTGTTTAGGTGCTAGAAGTATAGGAGCTGATACCATAACACTTTATTTAACGTACAAGACCGAGTTTGGAAAACATTTTGAGGTAAGATGACATTTTCAATTTGAGTTAGTATCATCGTGGTGGGCAAAATGTTACTGATGATGCCAGATGCGAGGCAGACATTATGATTAAGAATTGGAATGGCACGGGATACATTCATGGCAATCAACCCCTTATTTACAGCAAGCAAGGTGCAAATTTGAACTAAGTAATAGACTTACAAATTGCTACGTCTAGTCCGCTCTATCGTATGGAACAGAAACGTGGACAAGAAAATCACATCATTTGAAAATTGTACAGGAAACTGATGATAATATCGTGACACGATATTGAAAAAATAGAAATACTAGAAATATTGCATGTGATAGGGCTTAAACTAAATATCCTGATAGGAATGGTTAAAGAAAGAAAGCCAAAATACTTTGGTCATATTAAAAGGCATCAGAGTCGCTTGAAAGATATATTGGAACTTGGGAAGTAGAAGGCACCAGGCTAAGAGGAAAACCAAGAACTTACTGGGAGGGGAACATGAAGACATGGATGGGAACGACACTGCAAGAGTGTACTAGGGAGGTAGATAAAACTGTGGGGAAAATGTTGCAATCTACCTCCGCCCTGGGAGAAGATACCTGGATAGAAAGATCATCGGTTAGATCATCACGGTATGTCCCTTTTGCAGCCAACCTCAAATGCTGTAGAACTTTGCAGGAATTATGAATATGTCATGTATGTCCTATCTGTGAAAATTTAAACGTTAGCAGTGTACTCATATTCAAATTATGCAAGGAAAACCGTTTACTTGCTAGACTTCACTGTCAGACACTATTGATTGACTGACTGGCTTTTTTTCTTCTTTGGTAATAACATACATGAAAAGAGTTGTAAAGGGTACATGAGCATTTGTCTACATCAATAACCCACTTCTTGTGATGGCCAAGATTAAACTGATTGAATCTTTGTACAGCATAAAACGTATGACCATTCGGTACAATTGTCTGAAAATCAAGACTATTACTTTTGGGCTCTATAGCTCTAAAGTCGATTTGACAACTAATAGTCATTATTTTCTCACTTGAAGACATTTTCAAGCCCCACCTTTTTTAGGGAAGTTTTAAATTAGTATTATCTTTCAAATGCAGTTGGAATTTAACTTTTTCATTTTTTTGGCCTGCAAATGGGACATAGTCCCTATAAAGTTCTTTCCTAATGTCTTGACCCAGTTTGCAGAGCGCTAATTAAATTGGCTAAGAATTTAAAGAGAAAAAAACTAAATAAATCCCCGACGTGCTAAAGAAACTGCATAAAGAAGTATTATGGGGGAACAATTATTGCTCCTCCGCACCGCGGTACTTATGAATAATATTAATAACAATAAGAGACATTTATATAGCGCCGTCTATCTAGACCAGGCCTTCTCAACTGGCGGCGCGCGCGCCACTTGTGGCGCTTGCGGTCAGTCGGAGTGGC